AAGGGGCACCCGGTCTGCGCCCGTTCGAATTGCGCGGTCCGTTACGCTACTGAGGCAGCGATAGCCCCACTTCTCCGGCTACGCATGCGCATTTCACCTCTTGTCTTTTTTTTTTCCTGCCTCCCTTGCCCCCTAGGAATGCTAGTCTGATCTTTGCGCATGTCCGCCTCAGACTACATTTCCCACAATGCCCCCCGGAAAAAATGAACGGTCAGAGCGCCCCCTGAAGAAAAAAAAAATCATCCCTCGCGTTTGCTTACTGGCAACGCACCACCTCCCTCGCTCCTGCTGGTGCATTATGGGGCGGTGGAGGCCGGCGCGCTCGTTGAGAACGCTGCCTTCTAGGGAGGGGTTGCTGCTGCCGCCATGCGATTGGGCTGTGGGCACGGGCCGCTCCGCCCCGGGGTGGGCTGGTCCGGCCCGCCGCCTGTCTCCGTATCCGTGAGAACATCCTGTCAGCGCGGGCAAAGCCCTGCTCCTGGGGATGGGGGCAGCCTCCCGCCTGCTCGTCCTCCGCTCCCTGCTGCTGCTGCCCGGCGCCTTTGGATTCGTTCCCTCCCTGGACAGCGACTTCACCTTCACGCTGTCCGCCGGCCGCAAGGAGTGCTTCTTCCAGCCCATGCGGCAGGGCGCCTCGCTGGAGGTCGAGTACCAGGTGAGGGAGCCGGCTCGCCGCTAGCGACCCGTGTGCTCCGCTGCGCGCGGGACGGAGATCCGCCTACCGCGCATCCTTCGCGGCGTCCGCGCCGCCGCTCTCGCTGTCGCAGCCTCCCGAGTATCCGGCGGGAGTGGGCTCTGCCCGCAGGCTGAGTGTTCTCGTAGCGCCGTCTGCAGAGCCCATCGTCAGTGTAAAGCTCGTTCTCCGACCGCTCGCTGCAGCGATTTCCGGTACCGATAAGGGGGACCCGGCAGTTTTCTTACCTGTCTCTGACTTTAGTGGGCAGGGTGGGCAAATAGCTCTGGGAAAGGTAGAGGGGACTGTCAGGGTCAGCTTCTGGTTTTATTCCACCAGCACTGTTCTGGAGTCTTCAAGCATTACAGATGTTTACATATGTGATGAAACCTCCAGGAATATGTCTAGGCAAAAGTGGCAACCCTAGTTCTGGAAACAAATCCCCCCCCCCCCCCAACCCAGGTTGGAAATTTTTGGCCAACACAAGGGGCAAAAATCCTAGAAAATGCTAGATGGGCCTTCAATGTCCACACAGGTCAGGCGCTCAGGTTCAAATGCTGTGCAGAAGATCTGCACACAGTAAACTTCCTGGAGCTGACTGTCTTCCAGACTGAAAAGGACCAAGCAGACAATCCTATTGGATTCCCACTAAAGGACCCTCCCCCAGCCTGTTGGAAGGGTCCGCAGAGTCCAGCCAGGCAGAAGATTGCAGGCAGACAAAAAGTTCAGGTTCTTCTTATGCTGATGAGGCAATTGTGTGTGGAAGGTCAGACTAGATGATCATGGTGGTCACTTCTGACCTTAAAATCTGAGTCTAAAAGTTTGTTGAAGCAAAACGATGGGGTTTGTTTTTAGGCAATAGATTGTGCTCTGTAGTCCAGCAAGGTTAAAATGAGCAATCTACCTCCTGCAATTCCATGCAAATATATAACTCTCAACTTCTTTTTCTTTCTTCATCAGTCCATACAATCATCCTTATAACTTGCCATTCACTGGTTTTATACTAATACAGCTGACCTGTTTACGCAACAGGTTTTTATCATAGTTGCAGTTAGTTTCTAACGAACACAATTGACTCCCTCATGCACTGTGTCCACCCATAACTACTAATAGGTGATCCCTAACTGTGGTTGTGCCATCTTCTAACCTTGGTTCTGTACAAATGTCAGGCTGCAATTCAAACTAATACAGTTCTTCTGTATAGATAGGATTGTTTAACTATGTCTGTTTAGTTAGATTAGCAAACCCTCCTATGTACAAAGTTACACTGGAATGTGAAAAAATCCTCCCACAATCCTCTCACCAACCTTCAGATTTCTGTATTTTTTTTCAGATGCCATGCCACAAACAGTTGTGTGTCAATGGTACTTGTTAACAGGCCATCAACAGTAACTATTGTACTGGGAATAATCCTGCTGCATGCATGTAGTTCTGTCTGTAGAATTGACAGTGTCTTTGTATCCAGTAATGTGCATATTGTTTGAGAGATGTTTGTAATGCGATCATAGTACTTTATTACTGCTGGCTTTTTTATAGCAACAGTTATTTTCCCCTATTGAATTGGGTTTTATCTGAAAATATTTTTGGGCTATTGATACAAGAAACTTCTAAGCTTGTTACAGTTGGGAGAAAATTGAAGAGGAGAAAGTATTTCCTTTGTTTTTCATTTGTTTAGTGTTTGACAGCATTTTGCACATAGTCAGTTTCAGTATTTCTCCTGTAGTCTTTCCAGGATAAGAGCCCAATGAATGTATGCACGTGCCTAATTTTATGCAAGGAGTGGTCCTGATGAGTTATCTGGCTTCTCCTGCTGAGTTCCACATGGACAGTGAAGGAAAAAATGCATTTACTTAAAAAGGGGGGAGGGGAAGAATACTATTTAAAAGTCATAAAAATTAGAAGACAGGCTCAAGGATAGAACATGGGGCCAGAATGTGTAAGAATTTTTTTTACTAGATTAAGTTTTTTTTTAAAAAATAGGAAAGGTGCGTAGAAATATCACATGCAGTTCGGTGACTTTACAAAATAGCTATAAAACCTAAACAAAACTAATCATGACTGATGCATAAAATGTCTCTTCCTTTGCATCTCCTGCCCCATCTCTCTCCTCCGCCTCCTCTAAATATTTAGTACATTTCAAAAATTAATTTTTGTAGTCTGTCATAAAGATTTAGATGCTGTAAAATGCCTTTTGGGACAGGTTGAAGATGATCTTTGCAGCTCAGCAGCAACAGATCTTACAATAACTTAAGTCCTTTTTAGATAAAATAAACACCACACAGCAGTGCACATTTCTCATTGTCCTGCCAGTATTTTTCAGACCCAACCCAGTCCCTGCACATTTAATCCTTCGCCTCGCTCCTGGGAATGCATAGCAATTCCAACAGATGCTACCGTCTCAATTTTTTGAGAAGAAATAGCTCTGTTCATGACTCATCCTGAATAACAGTTAAAAATTAAATACTCTTTGGACACTTCTTTAATTAAAAAATCAATGCTGGCAAAGTAACTGAAATGCAACTTTCACATTTATTACAGAGGGAATAAATACTTAACTCTCATAGGGCTTTTGATCCTACTAAAGATCCATGTTTCACTATCAGTTCCTCAAGTCATCTTTATAGAGTACTAACTAGTTTTTATGTTGCATAAGTGGAAAGGATTCAAGTTCTGCTTTGATACTGATTTTTTTTTTTACAAGTATGAATTGTAAATTGATAAAAAACAAGAATAGTTTTTTCTGAGTAATATTCTCCAAACACATGTTCCCAATGTAGTAGAACAGTATGAAGCTGAGATTCCGAACAGTGTGCTCAGACCATATTGAAATATCAAAAATATATCACTACTTATCTCTTCATTCTGGACACCCATTCCTTAATTATTTTCTTCCTTTTCTCTTTCAGTAAACTTCCAGTCTTGCACCTACTGGGATCATTGTGAGTTTTGCCATTGACTTTAGTAGGAGCAGGATTGGGTTGAATGAGAAAGGCCTAGTCTACACTTAAAAGTTGTACTAGTTTAATTGTTTTAGGTAAAGGATGGTGGTTTTTGTTTTTGTATTTAAAAAAAAGAAACCCAAAATTGTTATACAGGTAAAAGCCCTGGTGTGGACCAGTAATGCCAGTATAAAAGTGACTTATTCCAGTATATTTATTTTCTTTCTATGGGGGAATAGCTATGTCAGTATAAAGAGTATCTATATAACTGCATCCATACTGGTACATTCAAACAATACAACTTTCAAATGTTGACAAACTCAAAGGGTTTGATCCTGTGACATGCTAAATGTCTTAAGTTCCTTTTAACTTTGAGAAATGAGAATGCTCAGCATTTTGCTGGCTAGGGATCCTAAATCTGCAATATTTCCTTGTCATGGAAAAAACCCCAGGGATCCCATCTTCTATGGCTCTAACTGGTGTGGCGAGTGTGGTGTCTCTTGCAGTATAAACTATGATCCTCCAACTACAGAGTCCATGTGATTTTTGTACATGAGTTGAATCCTTGTTACACAGAGCCTTCTTTAAATACTATTCTTGTCAGAAAGGTCTAGGTATCATCTGCCTTATAATGCCTTATCTACACTGAGATTTTACTTAATATTTCCCACCATTTAACTAACACTGGAAGAGCTCCACCAGTGATATCTATAATGGAAGTGTGAGTGTAGACCATCTGGCATTTTTACTACTATGCTGTTTAACCTTGCTCAGAGAAGGTCTAAGTGACACAATGAATAAATGTCCTGCAATGCCTTGTCTTCAGTAGAGTTCCCAATTCAATGTTGTTGGAATTGCACTAGAGAAAGAAATAGCAGAACGCACTAGGGAAACGCTTAGTTTATTCCTTTCCTAATGTAATTAGTCACATCTGTGCTAAAATTTAAAACAGTGTACCATCTTTTTGGCAGAAAACTTGGGTAAAGTGGGTTTGAAGTTTACAGTAGGTGAATTTACCCTTTACATTTTCTCTGTATCAATTCCTTTACGTAAAATGTTTCTTTTCAACAACTCAAATGGAAGTTTGCTTTTTAAAAATGTATTTATTTGTTGGCTGACTTCACAGGTTTTAGACGGAGCAGGATTAGATGTTGACTTTTACTTGGAATCTCCAAAAGGTGAAATCCTAGTTTTTCATCAGAGAAAATCAGATGGAGTTCACACGTAAGTTTTAAAATCTCCAGATTTGAACCTCAATATTGTATACAGCAGTGATGACAGTTGCTTTAAACAAATACAAAACTTAGAGTTAAGTGTTTTAAAATCATATTTGTTCTTAATGGTTTTAAAAACTTGTTGTATTGTTTATCTAAATTACTCTTTGAATGTGGAATATAAGAAGCTTGTTAATGTGATTACTGTAAAAAGCTTGCTATATTCATTCTTTTAGTTGTTTATATTTTAGGCTGTTTTACAAATTGTGTCTACATATTAAAAAAAAATTCCCGCGTGACAATAGTGACACGTCATCACGTCACTCTGCGTCCTGCCTGCTTCCTTCCTCTCTCCCAGCTTCAGCCCCATCTTGCTGCTTCCCCTACTTGGAATTGCTATTTTAAACCAAGCCCCTATTCGCCTTCCATCACCCTTGCCCCACAGGGCTTTCAATGCCAAGAAACGCCTTCCATCACCCTTGTCCCACAGGGCTTTCAATGCCAAGAAACATGGCATAGTAGCAGGCAGACTCCACGTTGCAGCTGTTACACCCCCTCGGGGTGGGAGGTTGGTACAGTTCTCCTTGACAGCAGCCGAGAGACAGGTGCTGGGAGTGGGGCTCCCAGCCGGGCTTATTTGCCAGCAGTGGGCTCTTGAGGAGCTAGACCACGGTGTCCTAGCATCTGAAGTCTGGCTGCCCCCGTGGCTTACTGCGGCTGCCAGAACACCCCTGAGCCGCCCATGGGAGCTGCCTCACCAATCTGTCTGCTCCTTCCCTTTTGGCAGGTGGACAGGTGATCCTGGGCTCTGTGGACAGGGCTGGAGCAGTGAGCAGTACAGGTGGGAGTGAGGTCAGGGCAGCAGTCCCCCACACTGGTGCTTTTCCCACCTCAACAGGCTGCAGTGACCCGGTGCACCATGTGCACACAGCACTTCATGCGTCTTGCTGCACCCCACATGGAGCAGGCAAGCACCCCTGCACCTCTCCGACCGCTGGGGTTAGAGCCAGGCCTGGCATTTGCCACGGCTAGGAGAGGAAATGTTAGGGTTGGTGGGGGAGGAAGAAGGGACCCTGGCTCGAGGGGGAGGGAGAAGGGACCTGGGCTGGTGTGGGGGTGGGGGAAGGGGCCTGGGTTGGTGCTGGTGCATCCACAGTCCAGCCCTACCCAGTGACTGGGGGGGGGGGGGGAGAGCTAGGGTTTCCTACCCCCTGAAAGAGGGGGGTTTGCGAGTGCACAGCCCCCTACTATTACCTTATTAATACTTCCTAGACAGGTTCCTTCAGGAGTGAAGGATGTTTGACTTACCATAGTGGCCATCTGCTTATTGGCAGTAAACAGAAAAGCACTTCCTATTGTGGAATTTCAGAAGATAGTAGCCCATTGTCTGTGAGTCTATAATGCTGACATACACGACCACGCCCCTTGGCCGTGTACGTCAGCACCCCGCCCCCTTCCCCTCCCTCGGTGGCGGTTCGGCCCACTGCTGTGCCGCTCAGCTGGGCCCCAGTGGGGGAGCAAGTGGAGGCAAGTGGCCTTTTGGGGTCCGTGCTCCCCCTGTTTGGGGTCTGCTTGCCGCCCAGGGCCCAGCTGAGGATGCTCAGCTGGGCCCCGGCAGGAAAGCAAGCGGCAGCAAGCAGCCGTTTGGGGTCTGCGCTCCCCACGCGTGGGGCACCTGGCTAGCCAGATCTTTATATGGCCACTAGTAAGTGCTCTGTGCACCACAGATCACATTTTGGGAACCTCAGACATGGAGAATAATCAGGACAGAACATATTGTACTGCCTATAGAACAAATGCCTGTTTTCTACGTATAATTATTCATTACATTCCAATTACCACTGCTCAAATTACATAGAGCAAGAGTCTTCCCTTAGACCTGCCCAACAGCTCTCAACTAGATACCCTCCACAGAGAGAAGAGAATATTCCATGTGAATGATTTTGCTTGATGTGAATGGGAGACCTGCACATCATATATATAGTAGCCCAGTGTCTGAGTCTGTAACACTGAAATGCTGGCTGTTCCCTCTGGGCGGCACTGTTGCTGAAATGCTGGCTGTTCCCTCTGGACAGCGCCGTTGCTGAAATGCTGGCTGTTCCCTCTGGGCGGCACTGTTACTGAAATGCTGGCTGTTCCCTCTGGGCGGCACTGTTGCTGAAATGCTGGCTTTTCCCTCTGGGTGGTGCTGTTGCTGAAATGCTGGCTGTTCCCTCTGGGTGGCCCGTGCTGCATGGGGAGTGCAAGGCCCAAATGGTCGCTTGCTCCACTTGCTCCCCCGCGGCGGCCCAGCTGAGCGGCGCAGAAGTCAGCCGAACGCTACAGTGGGAGGGAAAGGGGGGCAGTGCGGTGACGTGCGGCGGGACAGCAGCTCCAAGCCCCGCCCCCTGGCCGTGAATGTCACCGCCCCACCCCCTTTCACCTCCCACCGTGGCGCTCGGCTGACTTCTGAGCTGCTCAACCAGGCCACTGCGTGGGAGCAAGTGGCACAAGCGACCGTTTGGGCTCTGCGCCCCCCATGTAGCATAGGGAGTGCGGAGCCTAAACAGCCATTTGGGCTCCGTGGTCCCGAGTGAGAGGCAGGAGGGAGAGGAGAGCTGAGAGTAGGGGGGAGGCAGTAGGAGGAGAGAGAGAGAGAGACAGACAGACAGGGCGAGAGAGCTCAGGAAAGAAGACCTGAAAATCCCATCTTATGTCGGGCTAATTGGCTAGTTTCAGAAGACACTTTCTGCAGGGTATTTTCTCTGTAATAAAGTAATCTAGCTGTCATTTCAAGTAATCATCTATTTAGCATACTGTTAGTCTGATCTCTTTCCAGGATTGGTTTTGGTTTTTTACACAATATCAAATTTACTTTCTCAAATATTTGGGGCCAGTATTGGTACACTTAAAATTAATTAACTTTAGTGGAGCAGGGACCATTTGTAAAGGTGAAGATTTTATCTTTTCTGTTCTTTGTGCAGCCAGTGGTCAAGTTAAACTTTGTAAAAGTATTTCTGTTTTCTATAGCTGTAAGAAGCAGCTGCTGTCTTCTATTTTAAGTGGTTGTAAGCATTAATATTTCAAGGTTTAATTTTTAAATGTAAAGGGAAAGAAAGCAAATGCTTATCACACTAAGATTTAAGATCATTGGAGCTTGTTTTCTTAGAAAAATTTGTAACTTTTATGCTTGTGTTATCTCATTCCATAGTGTGTTGTGGCTTTTTCATTTGTGTGTAGCAGAGCATATTTTTGTTTGCATGACTGTCATAATCATGTAAGGACAAATGTTAAAAATGTAATTTTAAAGGCAATATTAAAATACAGTTTAAAAGTGCATGTCTGCTCATTTACAGGGTGGAAACAGAAGATGGAGATTACATGTTCTGTTTTGATAACACATTCAGCACCATTTCAGAGAAGGTGATTTTCTTTGAGTTGATCCTAGATAATATGGGAGAAGAAGAACAAGAGGACTGGAAGAAGTACATTATAGGTACTGACTTGTTGGATATGAAACTTGAAGATATTCTGGTAAGAATTCTGCTCTAGAATTAGACAGTTGAATATCTGAAAGATTCATTTTTATCATTCTATCTTAGTCTTTTTCTTGTTGAGGGCCTGAGCAACTGTGATACAGTGATCAGCTGTGCTCTTCATAATACATTATGTTCACCTGTCCCACAGTGAGGGAGGATTGTAGTTAAAGAGCAGCACTGGGAGTTAAAAGATCTGTATTCTGGCTCCAGCTCTGCCATGGATTTCCTGTGTAGCCCACAGCAAGTGATTTAATTTCACTAGGTATGTCTACACTGCAGTTAGACCCCTGTGGGGAGCCCTGCCAATCGACTTGGGCTAAGGGCTGTTTAATTGTGGTGCAGGTGTTTGGGCTTAGGCTGGAGCCTGGGGATCTCTAGCTCTTGGACCATGCCAGGTGGGATGGTTCTAGCATTTGGATGAAGTCTGAACCCAAATGTCAACACCTCAATTAACAGACCCTTAGCCTAAGCCCTGTGAGCCCAACTCAGCTGGCACAGGCCAGCAGTGGGTGTCTAATTGCAGTATAGACATACCTTGAGTGTCTTTCTTCTGTGAGTAATAACTATCCTAAGGAAGCTTTGATACTTTGCTCACTATGATTTAATAAGTTCTGTGGATGAAAGGCACTAAAAAGTGCAAAATATTACTAACACAGAATCCTGATGCATGTATAGTAGCAGTATTTTTCATTGTACAATAACCTTTCCTGTGTGTGTGTGTGTGTGTGTGTGTAATTCACTTATGGTGAATTAAAGGGTTTTTTTTTGACCTTTTGTAATTAAGTTGTGTGTTCATGTCGATATATGATTTTGGATCATGCCCAAGCTCATTTTGAATGAGCAAGTGACTTGAAAGTACCAAGTCATAAATCTGACCCCTTTTGGTAGCTATATAAACACAAATGTAAAGTGGACACCACTTCATCTTCTTAAGATAAGCAAATATTCCCTATTCATCAATCTTAGGCAGGAGAAAAAGAATTGATCAAAGTCATTTGCATATAATTCATTTGCATATAATTCCCTATTCCCAAAAGTTGCCCTGAAATGTTGACATACATTTCTCTGCTTTTATTTTTATATATATATATAGTATTCTTTAGTTTTTCTTCTGTGTGGTGTTTTGGTTAATTACAAAGTACATTCATCAGTCCTCAATCTGCCAGAAGATACATCAATTTTACATATTATTTCATCTAAATAATCTTCTTTAGCCCAGAGGATTCCTCACTGTACATATCTGCTACCCTCCACATGAAGCCCAGCAACACATTTGTTTTCCCATATGAGAGATTGGATGGGAAATCTTTCAGTGTTTGTCTGTTTCTTACCTTGCAGAGCTGGAAGGGACTGTGTATCCAGCTGTCTGAGTCTTTTCATTGGCTACCCGCTTCCCTATCATGGGAAAGGGGACAAATAAACAATGTCTCCAAGAGCTAAAAGGTGGTAATACATCTCTCACAAGGATGCTCTGCTTAATTTCTGTTGTAGAGTCAGAAGCACTTGTAAGAATAGTGATAGAAATGTAGCCCCAGACCCACTTCCTCAGATCAAATAGTGGAAGAAAGTAGTCACAACCATATATACCAAAGGATACAATTTAAAAAAATGAACAAATATGAAAAGGACAAATCACATTGCAGAACAGAAGGGGGATGCGGGGGGGTGGGAAGGGGGAGGAAGGAAGGTAAGTGTCTGTGAATTGCTGATATTAAAGGTAGGGAGAGTGGGATGTTTGTGAGTTAATGGTATTACAGGTGATAATTGGGGAAACTGTCTTGATAATGGGTGAGAAAGTTCAAAGACTTGTTAAGTCCCTGGGTCTGGCCCACGAAAGCTCATCATCTAATAAACCATCTTGTTAGTCTTTAATGCACTTGTAAGATATATTCTTAGATGTCTCTTCTTCCCATCTTCGCAAACATGCCCTGGTTACTAACATAAGATGGGAAAAGAGGAAATTTAAAGTGTTAAGATAACTAATACTTCCAGATGCACTGGCTGAACTGTTTATCTGCAAGCAGATGAGAGTTGGATGAATGCAGATGAGAGTTGAGGGAGAGTGGTGTTAGTCCACCAGTAGAGCTGCTGAGCATAGTATTTTGTTGATGGTGATATACAAAGAACTGAACTAACGGGACTAGCTTCTGTAGTTTGTTCAGTTGGCAAAGAAAATGTGCATAGCATAAAGTATGTCCTAAGGCATTGAGAAAGCGACTGGGAGGGATACTATTTTTATAGTGTTCTTGGAAATGTTTCTGGGTTAGTGGCTGCCGTTCACAGTTGCCCAAGTATTTCTCCAACTCCCCAGACAGCTCTTAAGCACACTTGAGTCATCCTGCTCCTAGTTCAAAATCAGAATAACTGAAAATCCCAATTTATAGGTGCTACATACATCATTTGTATAAAGTTATACCACTTAAACAATACACTGGTTCTGTGCTGTCTCCACTTCCTGCTTCCCAAATGTAGCCTTTGACACCTCCCTGGCAATATCATTCAATGAATAGTAGGTGTAGAAGCTTGCTCGCACTGCTTTGCAAATTTTTTCATACTGTAAAGTTACTCTATACAAATTTTTTTGAACAGCTTGTGCTTGTTTCAGTATCACTTAGCAGGTTACAATACTGAGCTCTGACAGTTATGCAATAAAATACTTGCTGACAGACCAAATAGAAGGCTACCAAGAAAGCAGAATCAGCATGCACTAAACATTTATTTTATAGTGTCTGCTGTCCCACAGTTCCCTCATTCATGTAAAAAATTATTCAGTTTGTGTATTAGATCTGTTTCCTATAATAAATGAAAATCGAATCTTTCTTGTCGAACACAAATCAGCACTGAATAGAACGTTTAGGATGCCAAACATTTTTTGTAGTTTATTTTAATACAATTTAAAATACTGAAAATCAGATTATCCTTTTCTTCCCAATAGAAGTTAAGATAATTAGAAATATTAGTAACTATTAATTGCTAAAGAAGTATAAAGATACAGAGGTGGGGAGTTAATGATGCGAGCAACTTTTGCAGGCGCAACACAGAATCTGAGTTCATGTACAAACAAAAAGTCTGCCAGTCCTCATTTTGAAACTGGAGGCCATATGAATATATAGGAGAAAGCAGTCAACAGAATAAGTAATAGGAAAACACTCTCAAGAAGTAAAGTTACCTATTACCTGAAGATAGTCTAACTGCTGTGTCAATATACTCTATAAATCAATAAAAAGACAACCTGTTGGGCATTAATGCTAGTTAATTTTTGTTAACGGGTATCTTGGTCAGATAATCCAGCTGAGAACAGTTAGACTGCAAAATAAAGCTAACAGTGCAGAGTAGAATTCATGAGTAGGTCCCTACCAAAATCACAGTCCATTTTGATAAATTTCAGAGTCGTTGGGTTTTTTAAATAATTTTCATTATTTCACCTATTTAAATGTGAACTTTCATAGTACATAATTGTAGGATCCTGATCTAAAAAGGAGTTGGGGTCACAAGTTTATTGTTGAGAGAGTTGTGGTATTGATATCCTTACTTCTGTGCAGCTGTTAGTAGCAGCGCTGTCTTCAGAGCTGGGCACATGGAGAGTGTCAGCTGCTGGCCAAGAGCCCAGTAGTGAAGGCAGAGCTGCTACCAGCAACAGTGCTGTCTTCAGAGCTGGGCCCAGTAGTGAAGGCAGAGCTGCTACCAGCAACAGCAAAAAAGTAATGGTGGCATGGTATGATATTGCCACCCTTACTTCTGCACTGATGCTGGTGGGGCATTTGCCTTTCAAGCTGGGTTTTCAGCCAGCAAGCATCGCTCTTCAGCCACTCAGCTCTGAAAGGAGGCAGAAATAAGGGTGGTAATGCCATGACCTCTCCCTAAAGTGATCTTGTGACCCTCCAGCAACCGACTTTTTGGTCAGTACCCCCAGTTTGAGAAATATTGGTCTCCTCTATGAAATCTGTAAAAGTACACACAAGTCCAGGTTTCCTAGTCCATGGAAGGTTTCTCATGGCTGTGAATTTGGTAGGAACCCTATTCATGAGTTATCTGATACAGATAATGAACCTTACAGATACGGCTTTGCCATGATACTGGTTTGAAGCTGTACATCGTGAAATGGCTTGACCAGTCTTATTAAATTCAAATCACAGTTTTGGTTTATGTCCACCTAGTTCTATACAAAGTATAGTGCTGGTTTAGAAAATGTAATCTAAATATTCAGAGGACAATAGGGTCTTTTTCCTCTAATATTGTAGCTTCCATATTAGATGCTTGCTTAAATGGAGTACACAGTAGGACATGGTCATTAGATAGGGAGTTGTTTCTGAGGGCCTTAGCTTTGAACTTTGTCCCATATGGCTCTGACATAGCCCAAATTTGTTTACCTTTAGGGCATTCTTCATTCAATCTTTCACCTGTCTATGGGATCTCTTATTAAATAGTTGTGGATTATTTTTGAAAGATGTGTCAAGATGACTAAAGCCTGGCATACATTTTATTTATTTAAATTCAAACACATGAAAATACACACAATAAAGCTAACAAAAAAATAATGAAAGTTCATAAGATGTAGCATTCAGAAGTGAAGTAACTGTCACCTAACCATGGAATGAAAAAGTAGTAGTGACACATGCACAAATAAAAATAAGTAATGTGAATTGATAGTATGGTTTTTAAAGTGGAGAGGAGTGATATTATATTTGTTAGCAGAAAATTTGTTTCCTTCCAAATTATTTTACATTTTAAAACTGCCATTCTGTTTTTACCAGGAATCCATCAACAGTGTCAAAGCCAGGTTAAGCAAAAGCCTCCAGATTCAGACGCTGCTCAGAGCATTTGAAGCTCGTGATCGAAATATTCAAGAAAGCAACTTTGACAGAGTGAATTTCTGGTCCATGGTCAACTTGGGAGTAATGGTGGTGGTTTCAGCTGTTCAGGTTTACATGCTGAAAAGTCTTTTTGAAGATAAGAGGAAAAGTAGAACTTAACAGCTAGTAGGATCAGCAATAACCAGAGAGGAGGGGAAAATGCAATAAACTGCTACAACAAGAGACTAGTTTTACCTTGCTGCTTGTTTTGAATAGACATTATAATCAGGTTCTTGATTCACGTGACTAACACGAACAGACTACCTGTCCCCTGTACTTTCATCTCCACAAGAGTTACTAACAGTCTTACTGGTGGTGCATCTATTTTTTGGTTTATTGCATTTATAGCGACTCTAGCGTATGCATAATACGCAGAACAATGGATCAAATGGAAGTCAATGTTAATACCTGACATATAGTCACCTTTTCATGGTCACTTGAAAATCTTTCCTTGTCCGCCTAAATAATAATTTGCTTTTTTACAACTTTTTTAAATAAGCAGGAAGTAAAGTTACACAAGTGACAAAGGATTAAGGCTCATCTTAGTAGTCAATAGCTACTGTCATTTCTCCATAAATGTAACAGTATAACATTTCCTTAAACTCTCAACTGAGAAGTTTTTTTTCTACAGCGTAATACAGAAACACTGGGTTAATGTATTTCAAGTGGTTAAAATGAGAACTGTCATTTTCACTTTTTTATATATATCAGCAATTTTAGAGACAGTTCAAGTGAAATGTAGTCAATTTATAAACTAAAGGTAGCATCAGGCCCTACACCTCTGAGTCCTTCTGCCCGTTGTTCTGATTGTACAATCCCATTTTCCTGTTTAGTTGGTGGTTATGTAAAAGGTCCACTGAAACAGTGAAATTGACCACACAAAGTACAGGCAGAAGCACAAAGTAAAATGGAATTTAATTAATCTTTTAGTTACTGTAATCTTAGATATTACAACAGCAGATAAATTCAGATAAATAAGATTTTTTTGCAGATGACTGTGTTCCTTTAATAGTACTTTTTAGGTAAAAGTGTTTAAAAACATCTTGACATGTTTATATACAGGCAGTCCCCGGGTTACATGGATCCGACTTACATCGGATCCCTACTTCCAAACGGGGTGAGGCAACCCCGCACTAGCTGCTTCCCCGCAGCAGACCAGGGAGACGCGAAGCTAGCGCCTCCCCTCCCGCCCA